ATGCCCTGCACTGGAGTTCCGCTGACGCAGGGCCTGGGGATGGGTGGGGGCTGGTTGCTCCCCAGTCAGGGAGGCTGAGGTCAGGACCAAGACCCCTTGACTTCTTTCTACACCCAGGACCCTGGAGGCTGGGCTGACATGGAGTTGCTGGGGGATTCTGGGCTTAGCTATGACCTCTGAAAATGAAACCCCTGACTCTAGCCCCTGTAACTCAGGGGTTGGGGCTCTTTTCATAGGCAGAGTCCCATTTAGAGTGGGGAGACAGAAGACAACAGATGACAGACAGGGAGCCACAGGACCAGAAAGGGAGCAGAGACAGGGACAAAAGAGCCAACACCAAGAGCCCTGTACAGTAGTGCATGCCTGTAATCCCAGCACTTGGGGAGGAGGAGGAGGAATGGGAAATTCAAGACCAGCCTGAGTGCCTTAGCAAGATTATCTTAAAATGAAAAAAAAAAAGTTAATGAAAGTGCTGTAACTCAACATGAAGGCTCTGGGTTTAATTACCAATAACACACACATTTGAGGCTGTCTAGGTTATATATCACAGGGTTTTTTTTTTGGTTTTGTTTTGTTTTCTGGTACCAGCAATCAAACTCAGGCTATCCTCCTTGTGTTGCTGAGCTACATCCCAGGCCAGGCCCCTTTTTGTCTTTTTTTTTTTTCTTTTTGAGACAGAGTTTCACTATGAAGTTCAGGTTGGCCTTGAACTCATGGCTATCCTCTTGCCTCAGCTTCCCAAGTGCTGGGATTACAGATGTGTGCCACCACACGTGGCAATATGTCACTGTTCAAAACACAACAACAAAAAAAGAGAAAGAAGAGATAGAAGAGCTAGGAAAAGCAGACTATCCCCCCTGGGACAGTGCAAAAGGACTGGGGAGAAGTGGCAGGCAGGCTGCTGCACCGAGACCAGGGAGGGGTAGGGCCCCTAGAACAAAGGTTGTCAGGGGGCAAAGTTCGAAAGTCTACCTTAGGCTAGAGAAGCAAGGCGGGGGCGGAGAGAAGCCCAGAGGGGCAGTGGCACAGAAGGTCCCACCCAACAGGCTCCCCGCCGCCTCTGCTGCCCCCTGCTGGCGGCAGATGCATTCAGTGTTCACATGAGAATATAAATGAGATCACAGTGCTTTGGTTTAAATCACTCTTCATTCCCTCTAACCCCACCCACATTGTCAGGCTCCCAAGGCACCCAGCCTTGCCACCTCAGAGGGTGCCCCCAGGGCCAGTAGGTGGCGTGGGCGTCTTGCCTGTGACTTTGTTGGCACACTCCAGCAGGGCGGTGTGAATGTCCTTGGCACAAGCTATCTGGGCTTTGATGACGGCCAGGTACTGTGGGTATGGCAGGCTGTCAGGCTGCACAGCGTCGGGCTTGGTGGCTGTGGGCACTAACGTCGGAGAATGCTTGGCACTGTCACAGCTCTGTGACAGGCACTCATGTGCCAGGCGCTGTAGACAGACAGGCAAGGGTGCGGCATCAGCATCACTCCAGGGGCATACAGTGCCCCCATAACCTCCCTGGGAGAGCCTGTATGGCCTGGTGACCCCCAAAGTCTTGGGGTTAGTGCCCAGCTCTGCTAGTCCTGGGTTGGGTGACCTGGGGCATGTGGCTGTTCCTAAGCATCAGTTTCCTTGTTTGGAAAATGGGTTTAGTAACTTCCTCTCCCTGCCTAAAAGGTATAAGATACAGGTCAGGTCCTGGCAATGTGATTTTTTTTTTTTCCTGGTACTGAGGATGGAACTCACAACCTCTCTTGCCAGGCAGGTGCTAAGCTATATTCCCAGCCCCTGATGAATGTTAGCTGCTATGAACTCGCCTCACCTGAGGCTTGGCAGTGGCCTCCCTGGTGGCATCTATCTCACGTTTCTTTCTACTCCTTCTCATGGGCCTTCTTCTCAGGAAGATCCTACCATTTTAATTACAGTCCTAGGTCTCAACCTGGAAACTCCTCCCTAAATAGCCCATCAGTCCCGAAGCCCTTAGAGGGCTCCAAAGTCCCATCTGTTCTTCCCCTCTTCTACATAGCCCTTCCCTGGCTACCTCTTGGGTTCCCACCTGCAGTTTCAACCCTTCTTATACATTCCTCCTCTGCCAATGAGAGGTGTATTATGAGAAGCAAACAGATTCATTATTTCTCTTGCTTAAAATTCTCTGTGGCTCCCTAGTGTCTTCAGAATTATATTCAAAATCTAACAAAAAAGGGGCTGGGGAGATAGCTCAGCAGCACAGTGCCTGCCTAGCAAGCATGAGTTCCTGAGTTTGATCTTCGCTACCAAAAAAAAAAAAAAAAAAAATTCCAACAAGCCCCACATAGTGAGTTCCAGGCCAGCCTGGAAAACACAGTAAGACTCTTTCTCAAAGCAAAACAAGCCAGGCAAGGTGGTGCATGCCTGTAATCCCAGCACTTGGAAGGCCGAGGCAGGAGTGTTGCTGGAAGTTCAAGGCCAGGCTGAACTACACAAGCAGACCCTGTCTCAAAACAAAACAAAATCCAACATATCCCATTTTTACCACATCTCGGTCAGACTGAATTTCCTGATACTGCTTTTTTTTTTTTGAGACAGGGTCTTGCTATGTAGCTCAGGCTGGCTTCAAACTCAAGGCAATCCTCCCAGAGGCCTCAGCCTCCCAAGTGCTACAATTAGAGATGTGTACCACCACACTGGGCAATCTGCTGATATTCCTATAGAGATTTTAAAGCAGAAGCTGTTCCCTATGGAGAAACACTTTTCTCACACTAACAGCTTCTCAAACTGGTTTTTTTCAACACCCAGTCCAGAAACACTTCTTTTGTGCCTTAGATGATCGTATGTGTTTTCCATACAGTTTTTCCCTGAAACTCCATTTTCCAAAGGAGGAATTCAAGGTAGTCTGTCTGATTTGAGGCTCTGAGTCATTCTTACACCTGCCTCTCTACTCTTGCCTCTCTTTGTTCTTTTTTTGGTACCTGGCTCAAACTCACAACCTCATCCTTGCTAAGCAGGCGCTTATGCCACTGAGCTTAACTCCTGGCCCTTCTCTTCTGTTCTTTGTTCTAGTCTTCCTCAATGTGCTCTCTCCCGACCTGGGCTCCCCTCACCCACACTCTGAACTTCCCCCATCCTAGCTCTAATCCCCTGCCTGTGTTCAACCTTTACAGTCCTCTTCTGACCTGAACTTCTCCCGGCAGCCTTGACCCACTCTGAACTGCCCCTGTTTGGGGTTATATTTGAAATGGAAGCTCTGTGAGAGAAACCATCAAATAACACTGTGTGCCTGACATTAGTTGCATAGATCTGGCTCAGAAGAGGATCAGTGAGTGTACCAAGTGAGAGTTCTTGAAGATCTTGGTGACTAAGGCAGGGGCTGTGGTCACCCAAAGTCCAGAATACTCCTTACCAGGCAGAGCTCCAGCTGATCACAGAGTGCGTAGAACTCCTCCAGGCATTTGTCAAAGCGCTGTATGGGTCCATCACTGCTCTTTCTACAACCCAGGAGAAAAGGGTAATAGAGAAATGGATTCCTAAACTCTGGGTCACCATTGTCTACTCAACTAACTGTTCATCAGGAAACCACGCCCAAGGGTCCAGATCAGAGGCAGGGCTTGAAAACAGGAGGGATGGGGTGCCAAGGGAGGAGTTTCTTTTTTTTTTTTTTTTTTTTTTTTTGTCTTTTTCCTTTTTATCGGTACCAGGGATCGAACTCACGACTGCCTGCTTGCAAGGCAGGCACTTATGCCGCTGAGCTAAATCCCCAGCCCCAAGGGAGGAGTTTCTAAGGCTGGATGTTAGGATATCCTGGGAAAAGGGGGCTGTACTTACTGTCCGTTATCAATGTTAGTGTTCTGAATCAAGTTCTGGGCTGCAACCTTCATCAAGGTCTAGTTAAAAAAAAAAAAGAATGAATAGAAGGAAATAGAGTACCTTTGGTGGATCTTGAAATCCACCTCAGAACACCTCTTCGCTTAGCACCTCTCGTGACAGCCCATAGTGACACTCACTTTGATGGCCTTCCTTCATTTATTTATTTTTGACACAGGATCTCGATGTGCAGTTCAAACTGACCTCAAACTTACGGTGATCTTCGTCTCCGTCTTCCGAGTGCTGGGATTATGGGAGTGCACCACTATGCCCGGCTCATTTCTATTTCTACAGAAATCTCTCCTTTATTTTCCCAGAGACCTGCCCTCACCCGGGGTTCCCACCACTAATTTCCTAGACACAACCCCCATCTCTAATTGCGCGCAGAATCTTCCTACAGGCCAGTCCTTTCTCCAGGTTTTGACGACCGAAGCCTGGTTTCCCCCTTAAACTGCCTTCCATTAGTCCCATCTCAAAGAGCTTCACTTTAGCCTCACAAAAAAGAACACCTTTTACTCTTCCGTCCTTGCTTACGATCTCTCCTTAACTAAATAGTCCCACAGCAGGCCACCTTGGAGTCAGACCACTAAATCGCGCTTGCTTCTTGAAGCTCCGGGCCAATCACCTGCAGACTCTCTTTCAGCTGCGGGATGAGCATCTTATAGCGTTGTACAGGGTCGAAGTCCTGTTGCTGCTGTTGCAGGAGACCGCTCTGGGCAGGTCCCACCAACTGTGTTGGCGGTTGCTGCTGCTGTTGGGGACCCGGGCCACCAGCTGAACCCGGACCTGATACACCAGCAGCTGAGGAAGCCGCAGAAGCCTGCTGCTGGGGCGCAGCCATTTTCCTCTCTTACAGGACCGGAAGTGCGTCACAAGTGCGTCTTTCTGCGCTTCTTTGCTTCTTCAGCCGTAGGGTCTGTTTGTTAGCTCGGCCTCCCAGACGATTCAATCAGCTTTACCTTCCATCAGTCTCAAATGCGATGTCCAGACCGCAACATCTTCCCACCAATCATGAGGTCTTTTCTCTCTCGCCCCGCCTTTTACTAAACAGCTGACCAATCCGTGTGTAATTTTGCTCCGGACTCTATTTCCCAGAAAGCGTCGCGTTGCGAAACCACAGGTCCAGGTCCTCAACCGGGTCCTCAGCTTCTGGGCGGCAGTTGGTAGAGGTGGAATTGAGAGTCCGTCCTCGGCGTTGCCTGCACGTTTACGTGAGTCGTTCCCGGAGCTCTTCCAGCCACCTCATCTTGTCCCAGCCCCCACTAAGAGCAGCACCGACCCGCACCCTGCCCCAGAGGCGGTGTCCATCGAGGTAGGCACGCCCTTCGGCGTCTGTCCGCGGCGCAGCCAGGACTCCGTCCGCGCCGCGGTGGCCTCATCGCTATGGCGCCAACCATCCAGACCCAGGCCCAGCGAGAGGATGGCCACAGGTAGGTACCATGCCACCTGGCTTTACTGCTTTCCCTGGTGTCTGTCTGGGTTTCAGCAGGTGGGCAGGGTAGAGGATGAGGGTTCTGCTTACAGAGCTACGGGGCCCCCCAGGTGTGCTGGTGACGTCACGGAGCGCTAACCTTTGACAGAGGAGGCGTGTTTTTCTGGGATGGGGTGTTGCCCCTTCCTCCCTTGCTATCGAGTTCAAGTATGGCACAGTTGGAAACTTCAAAAATGATCTTGCACTTAGGTTTTCCCAGGCAAGCTTTTGGAGCGCCCTGTCCCCCAAACATTTGAATACGTGGTTCTTTATTAAAGCGCTAGACAACATTCCTTCCCAGAAGGCTTGAGCGCTTGGACTCGTTCATTAAAGCATTTGGGCACTCTTCCTCCAAAAGGAATAGAATATTAGGTCCCTCCGTCCAGCTTTTAGCAATGTGGAAGCCTCTCTCACTTTGTCAGTCCTATTCTTCCCATCAAGCTATAAGTTATCTCTCTTCCCCTCCAGGCCCAATTCCCACCGGACGCTGCCTGAAAGGTGAGCTCCATTGTTTGCGCTGGGACGGGGAATGGGGTCCGGGAGTAGAGGTGGGGGCAGGAAGGGCCATTTTGACCTATTTTACTAGGTCTGGAGTGGTCTGCCGTGTCAAGTACTGCAATAGTCTGCCTGACATCCCCTTCGACCCTAAGTTCATCACCTACCCCTTCGATCAGAACAGGTAAGACCAAGATTAGGGGAGGGGAAATGACTTAGAAATAAGAGTTTCTTGGAGCCTAGACAGTACCTTCCCAGGACATAACAGGAAGTGCTCAATAAATACTAATGAATGAGGACAGTGGTGCACACTTGCAATCCCACTACTCAAAAGGTGGAGGCACAAGGATTGCAAGTTCTAGGTCAGTATGTGCAATTTAGCTATCCTGTCTCCAGAATAAAACACGAAAGCAGTGAGCATGTAGTTCAGTGGTGGGGTGTTTGCCAAACACATGTGAGGCCAGTACCACAAAAACAAATTAAAAAACTCGTGATCTGAATGTAGTGTCACATACTTGTAATCCTAACACTCTGGGAGGCTGAAACAGGAGGATCAAAAGCTGAAGCCCAGCCTGGGTAACTTAGTGAGTTAGCAAGACCTTGTCTCAAAATAAAATGGGTAGGGTGGGAGGTGGGGATGTAGCTCAGTGCAAAGTCCCTAGGCTTAATCTCCTATACCTCAGCATCCTCGCCCCTAAACTTAAATGAGTACAGCAGGCAGTACCCACATGCCCTCCCTCTGAAGAGCCAGCCTGACTTCAACATGGGAACACTCCACACTCAAGTTCCTCCCCAGAGAAGCATATCTTCTGGGAAGCAGGGATATGAGAGATGAAGCTGGAATCTAGAAACCAAAACTGGCTTATTTCCTCACCCAGGTTTGTCCAGTACAAAGCAACTTCCTTGGAGAAACAGCACAAACATGACCTCCTGACTGAGCCAGACCTGGGAGTCACTATCGACCTCATCAACCCTGACACCTACCGCATTGACCCTAATGGTGTGTGGAGAGACAGGGAGGAGAAGGAGGGGGAGGCTCTGTGCTAGGGCAGCAAAGGCCAGGCCTGGGTCTTACTTATGGTCCTCCTGCCCCCTTGCTCTCTAGTTCTCCTGGATCCAGCTGATGAGAAGCTTTTGGAAGAGGAGATTCAGGCCCCCACCAGCTCTAAAAGGTGAGAAGGTGCCAAGTGGGTAAAAGACTCTGCAAGAGGGAGGGGATCTTTTGTGGAATCTTGAGGTGCCTGATCTCCTACCTTAGGTCCCAGCAGCATGCAAAGGTGGTGCCATGGATGCGTAAGACTGAGTACATCTCCACTGAGTTCAATCGTTACGGCATCTCTAATGAGAAGCCTGAGGTCAAGTAAGTTGCAAATGGGAAAGGAGGGAAGGTGATTTCAGGTTCTGTCCAGTGGCCCCTAAAAAAAAGCCTTTCTTTTCATCTCCAGGATTGGAGTTTCTGTGAAGCAGCAATTCACTGAGGAGGAAATATATAAAGATAGAGACAGCCAGATCACAGCCATTGAGAAGACTTTTGAAGATGCCCAGAAATCGGTAATTGACAGCCTGGGATAGACAGAAGCAAACGCAAAGGGGTAGGTCCAGCTCTTCCTCCCTCTTCCCTCATCTTGTATCTTCCCCACTCCCCAGATCTCCCAGCACTACAGCAAACCCCGTGTGACACCAGTGGAGGTCATGCCTGTCTTCCCAGACTTTAAGGTCAGGCCTAGGGTGGGAGGTAGAGGGCCAGCCTCCCATGGCTGCCTGTTGCAGACTAACCCCAGTGCCCTCTGTCTTGCCAGATGTGGATCAACCCCTGCGCTCAGGTCATCTTTGACTCAGACCCAGCACCCAAGGACACAAGTGGTGCGGCTGCCCTGGAGATGATGTCTCAGGCCATGATCAGGTCAGGGGCCCTGCTGCCTATGCTGGTCTGTTCTTTGTTGTCTCTTTGCCTTCACTCATTAGTCTCTCTTCACCTAACCAGGGGCATGATGGATGAGGAAGGGAACCAGTTTGTGGCCTATTTCCTGCCTGTGGAAGAGACACTGAAAAAACGAAAGCGAGACCAAGAGGAGGAGATGGACTATGCACCAGATGATGTGTTCGTGGGTTGGGTTAGATTTGAGGGATTGAGAAGTGTTCCCCCGCTTCTCCTCAGGGATAAAATGGGGTGACCCCATGTCCTTATCCTCAGGTATGACTACAAGATTGCTCGGGAATACAACTGGAATGTGAAGAACAAGGCCAGCAAGGGCTATGAGGAGAACTACTTCTTCATTTTCCGAGAGGGTGATGGGGTGTACTACAATGAGTTGGAGACCAGGTACTCAGCACGCCTGATTAGCCTGCCTCTCTGCTTTAGACCCTGGGGCAAGGCAGGTAGATCGAGGACTGTGAGTTCAAGGCTAGCCTATGCAACTTCAGTGGGACCCTGTCTCAAAAAGGTGGAGGTAGTGGTGTTTGGGATGTATAGTAGTAGTGTAAGGCTCTGAGTTTAATCCCTGGCACTATAAAAAAAAGGTCATCAGATAATGCTGGAGGCAGTAGGAGCTCTTATGTAGGATGTAGGACAGCCAACTTTTTCAGATATTTGCATATATGTCTATTTATGTGTACATACACACACAATTGCAGTGTGGGGGGCAATACTGGAGACTGAACCAACCACCTCACTAAGCAACATCCTCAGCCCTTTTTTTGTTTTTTGTCTTTTTCCTTTTTTCGGTACTGGGGATCGAACTCACGAATGCCTGCTTGCAAGGCAGGCGCTTATGCCGCTGAGCTAAATCTCCAGCCCCAGTTCAGCCCTTTTGAGAGAGGATCGACTTAAAACTTTTCTGTCCTGCCTCACCTTCCTAGTGCTTACTACAGGTGTGAGCCACCATGCATAATTTAAAAACATCTGGCATCTAAGTTTAAAAACATGGCCCTGAGATGGGCATGGTGATATATACCTGTAGTGCTGCACCTTGGGGGGGTTGAGGCAGGAGGATTCCCTTGAGTTTAAGGCCAGCCTGAACTACATAGTGAGACCATGATTCAAAAACCAAAACCAAAAACATGACCCTAAAATTCTGTGCAGCCTGAAAGTTAACTGCTTAACTATCTGGGGGTAAGAGTTAGCACAGAGATCCGAAATTCTCATCCCATAGCCAGACAGGAAATGTGAGAGGCAGCAGAGAACTGGTTGACTCTGGGTGACCTGGAGCTCTTGGTGAACTTCCAAGGAGCACCACACCCCTATTTTAGCCCTCTGTTATGTTAGGGCCAGAAAGGTTCTGTTTCCACAGGGATGTAAGTTCCTATTTCTCAAAAGCAAGAAACCACATTTGGTGTCTCCTAAGTGCTGGTTAATAATTAATTCATATACACATCTCTTAACACATTTATGTACATGGTACACATGTAATGTTTCCTCTTGTGTGCCCTGAACCAAGCATTGATGGCGAATCAAGTCAGACCAGAACTTTCTCTGGAGTTAGATTGCATCTTCCACCCTTCTTTTGCAACTTGTCCTCTACAGGGTCCGTCTTAGTAAGCGCCGGGCCAAGGCTGGGGTTCAGTCAGGTACCAATGCTCTCCTTGTGGTCAAACACCGAGACATGAATGAGAAGGAATTAGAAGCCCAGGTAACAAGCGGCATTCCTGGCCCAGGGCCCCAACAGGAGGGTGGAGGTGGATGAGGACAGAGACCTGCCATCATACCCTCCTGCTTCCAATCCTACTTCTGCTTCTAGGAGGCACGGAAGGCTCAGTTGGAAAACCACGAACCCGAAGAGGAAGAGGAGGAGGAGATGGAGGCAGAAGAGAAAGAAACTGGGGGCTCAGGTAAAGGGAGAGAGGCCAGACCCTGGGAGCCCCAGGAGGGTGAGAAACTGACTCTGACCTCTCTCTCCCTGCTCCCTCACAGATGAGGAACATGAGAAGGGCAGCAGCAGTGAGAAGGAGGGCAGTGAGGATGAGCGCTCTGGCAGTGAGAGTGAACAGGAGGAGGGCGACAGGGATGAGGCGAGTGACAAGAGCGGCAGTGGTGAAGATGAGAGCAGTGAGGATGAGGCCCGAGCTGCCCGAGACAAAGAGGAGATCTTTGGTAGTGATGCTGACTCGGAGGATGATGCTGACTCTGATGATGAGGACAGAGGACAGGCCCGTGGTGGCAGTGACAATGATTCGGACAGTGGCAGTGATAGGGGTGGCCAGCGGAGCCGCAGCCAGAGCCGAAGTCGCAGCCGCAGTGCCAGCCCCTTCCCCAGTGGCAGTGAGCACTCAGCCCAAGAGGATGGCAGTGAAGCCGCAGCTTCTGAGTCCAGTGAGGCTGACAGCGACAGCGACTGAGCCCTGGGGCTTCAGAAGAGGGCCGGAGTGACAAGGTCTTTAGAGCAGAGAGGTACTCTTCTAGTGGTCTCTTTGTGAGCCCTCCACTTTGTTGATTCCCCCACCCTTTAACCTTTGCTGTTAATAAAGCCAACTCTTGACTTCCCTTCCCAGTGCCTCTAGTCTTATTCACCCAGCACCCCAACTCCCAGCCCCCAACCCAGGCGCTTGAGCACCCCAGCCTGAGGTATAGAAGCAAAGTTAGTTTCCCAAAAAGTAGAACATAACAAAGGTCAGAATCTTTTTTTTTTTTTTTTTCTCCAAAATAAGCCCAGACCATTAAACAAGTGAAACTCCAACAAGTCAGTCTTCTCCAACAGCGAGAAAAACTGTACAGTTACTCAAAGCTGATTCTGCCAGTGGGGCTGGGGACAGAAGTAGGTGGGGAGGGTAAAATCATGGAAAAGGGCCTGGGGGCACAGTGGGAGGGTTGGGTCCTGCTCATCAGAGTGCGGCGGCCTGCGTCCTGCACACTCTGCTGTCAGGAGGGGGCAAAACTCTTGCCTCCCTTTGTGTAGGGGGAGGATGTCCCCCACTACCTCCCAGTGCCAGGTAGGGTCAGCCCACCCTGATGGGGAGTGACAAAGGGACCAATCGGCTGAGGAGAGGTGAGGGTTCCATGAAGACACCCTGCTGATTCCAAAGGAGGTGGCCCCTCCATCCCACTTCCTGTAGTTAGTGGGAGGGGGCTAGAGAAGTCCTGGGAGGTTGAGGGGAATGAGCAAAGGCACAGAAACATGGAGGGGCCGGGGTGGGGACTTGCATAGGTTGATGAGTGTGCAAGAGGTACATAAATAAACCTGACACCCCACCCAGCCCGGCACTGGGAGAGGAGGTGGGGATCCAATGGCAGGTCCCCAGGGCCACTCTCCCCCCTGGCTCCCTCCTTCCCCTGGGCTCAGAGTGGAGGGAGGTCCACAGACCAGGAGGGCAAGGGCAAGAAGGTCCAGGGAATGGGCTGATAGTGCAGGGAGGGTGGTGGTTTTCAATTTTTTTTGTTTTTGTTTGTTTGTTTTTTTCCAACATTTTGTATTTATAATAACATACACAATGGTTACCAGCCATATTCATAACAAAAGTTATTCATAAAATGTATCTAAAAATAACATTTTTTTTTTCTTTTCGATGTGAAAAGCTTGAGAATGTCCCAGTGAAGCGGGTGGGTTGAGGGGGAAGAGGAGGTTGGAATAGGGGGACCCTGGCTTCCCCAGTCTGAACCCCAAAATCCCCTCCTCCCTTCACCTAGACCCCAGCACAGACCCTCATCAGGAACAGGGACCAAAGGGTCTGTGTGGCTGGGGCTAGGATGCGCCTCTGGGTTATGAATGATATAGTGTTCCACTTACATGAGGTCATGACATAATGGGGGCGGGGTGTGTATGGGAAAGGCTGAAAGAAAAAAGGGGCAAGGATAAAATCAAAACCAAACAATCCCCTTCCCCATGTTCCTAACTCCCAAGTCTTCAGCTGCCAGACCTGGAAGTGGAGAAGGATGTGTTGGTGAGGGAAGGGGATGTTAAGGCAACAGACTTCCTGACCACACCACTGCCCCAGCTGCCTACCTTTGACCTCTGTGCCTGGCAGCCAGGGCTTGGGGAGGGGAAGGGGAAAAGGGTCTGGGGAGGAGGCTCTGCCCTCTCCCCACATAAAGTCCAGGCTCCTTCAGCCACTGTCTTGGCTCAGAGAGAAGCCTGGAGATTCTAAAAATGACAGGGAATGATCAGAGAGAAAAACCGTTAAGAACTATATAAATATGTATCTTAAATAGGCCTAAGAAATTAATTGTAGAGAACCTCTGAGAAACAGGGTGAGCAGGTGAGCAAGGTGGCTCCTGTCCTTGGGAATGGCGGGAAAGGGGAAGGGCAGGGGAGAACAGAGGGAGAACCATCCCTCTCCTCGTTCTCCTCCTCTCCAGTATCACCCTGGGCAAACCAGCTGCCTGCCCTGCTCCTTCCTCCCACAGTGTCAAAGGGTTCTGAGCAGGCTCCACGGGCAGCAGGCAGTGTGGCTCTGGGGAAGTCTGCTCCCTTGGGGAGTAACAGGCTGTCAGTGGTCTGGAGGAGGCAGGGATGGGACAAGGCCAGGTGGTGGGATGGGGAGGAGGCAATCCCGCCAGTCCTTGCCCCTTGCCTGGCTGTCCCCTCTGTGCCCTGGCCTCAGCAGAGATCTCTCAATGGGCCGGGAGTGAGCAAGGCGTGTACCAATGTTAAACAAAAGTTAAAGGGTGAGAGAATAGAAAAATATCAGAATGTATAGCTGAGCCAGCCCACCCTCTCGATGCTGCAGAGAAGCCCGTTGGGGGCTGGCCCCCGCCCGCCGCCCGGGGAGCCTATGGGTGCGCTGGGCTGTGAGTCCTGTCAGATGGTGGAGGTTTTGTCAGTCCCATCTGTGATAAGAAAGGGAGGAAGGGAGGAAGATCAGGAGCTGGTGGTAGGCCCAAGGAAAGGCACTCATGTGGCCTGTTATCCCAGGCGGGCCCTCCCTGAAGTCTGGCCTCCCCTCAGGACCCTCAGGATGACTCTGAGTTGCTCAGTTCAGAGGTGGAGACGCTGGGTAGGTGGGAGCTGGGTCAGGGAAAGAGGAAATGCTCACCACCCAAGGCGTGTTCTGTCATGCTCAGACACAGAGACTCCAGGGTGGGATTGATCTCCAGGTCAGGCCCAGGGACTGGGCAGTCTGGGTGGGAGAAAGGAGAATGGAGGTGGTGAGGTAAGGACTGACTGAACTGGGTGGAGAGTGAGCTGGGGTGATAAAGGGTCTTGTTAGGAGGGCAGATACGAGAGCTTGTGAGGCATGCGCCCAACTGGAAGGAGGACACAACAGGCAGGCAGGAAGGACAGGGTAATAGGCCTGGGGGGTCACAAAGCAGTTAGGGGAGACAGCAGCAAGGACACAGGCTAGGTAATGCAAAAAGAGCTGGACTTGCACACAGAGGAAGTGATACGAAGCAAGGGACCTTTCCTGGAGGTCACGGGCTATGATTATTTCAGATACAGAAAACAAGTTGCACTGGGTGGTCTGGGCATCTGCCCCACAACTCCTGATGAGCTGCTCTCTGTACTTGGTACAAAAGCTAAATTAAAACCTTTCCTGTCCCCACTTGGATTTGTTCCTCTAGGCAGGATGAAACCCATGCAGGCAGAACAGGTGGAGCAAAGTAGGCAACAGCCATGGGGCTTGTCTTCAACCTTCTTAAATGGGCCTTCTTCCTATTCCAGCACCTGGGAAGCAGTCTACATCCCGAGGCAGACCTAGCTTCACCCCAAACTACTCCCTCAGCTCTTCACTCAAATAGAAAGCGGTCTGGAGCCCTGAAGGCCTGGTCCCTGATTCAGGAGCCTCAGCTTACATCTCCAGTCTCACCTCTCATCACCATCTACCCAAACCCTGAGCTCAGGTCGTATTAGATTTCTCTCTCCCTTAAAAACATCTCTTTTTGGAGCCAGGAACTCACTATGCATTTCAGGTTGGCCTAAAACTCACTATGTAGCCGAGGCTGGCCTTGAACTCAAAGCAGTTCTCCTGTCCCAGTCTCCCAAGTGCTGGAATTACTGGCATGGGGAAGAGTGCAGTCTGGCATGCTCAACTCTAAAAACATCTTTGGAACTTGGACAAATCACTTCTTTGTCTTTGCCTGCCTGGTGACTGTTAAGACTGGACTAATATTACGGTTCTCCCATGTATAGCTGGGAGGATTCAATTTACGGTGCCTGACAGAGCTGGGCACACAGCACACTGCAAAGAATTGTTTTTATGTTTTGCTCCTATGGTCCAACCCTCCCCTCCATTCATTCAGCATCATTTACACAAGCCATGGTCTATGCTAGAATGAATGAGATAGATAAAGGCTCCTTGACTGCACAGGCATTGGTCCACATCATCCCATAAATTAAGGGATGTGGCAGTCTGTAACGTAAAGAACTTAGGGTCACCTGAAAACCTAAGATCTCTCTAGGACTGCCCATTAATGACCATCCACTGCCCAGCAGTTGGCCCAGGAGAGGAGTCAATTCCTTCTTGACCAGCAAGGCAGGGACCCATGGCGAGTGCTCTCTCATCTCCTCTTGCTACCTGTTCTCCTGATTTTTGTGAGCAGGAGGCAAAGAGTCCTCTCATTTCCAACACCATGGAGAGCAGAGCCTTGTCTAAGAGCTGGTAATCACTGGCTTCTGAAAGAATACAGGTGGACACTCCTCCATGGATACCTCTCATTCCCTCTACCTCTTCCAAATTGAGTATTTAATGAGTCTGAGAGTAACAGAGAGTAACAAGGGTCCTAAAATCACTGCATAGGGAGGGAAAGATGTGGAGATGGGCCAGGGGTAAGAGGTGACAGAAAGTGGTGCAGAGTGAAAGCAGGATCTGAGACAAAACTGAAACAGGAAAAAAAAATCCTCTCCCAGGGTAGGGGCAGAGGAATGCAGAGCAGTGGGAAGTACAGGGAAAGTTGCTTTTACACTTCAGAGGGGACAGTGACCATGAGACCCAAAAAAGAGGGAGGCCAGCTGAGGAGTTTGGCAAGGCAGGGTACCTCACCTGGAGGGAACATGAGAATGGCCTGGGGTGACGAGTGAACCGGAAGTGAGTGGGTGCGTTGCACAGAGCTGCGACTCTGGCTGGGCATGCTGTTGCTGCCGCCGGGATTGGCAAACCACAGGTTCTGCACAGGACACAGCAAGAGGTGGAGGGGTGAGTAGAAAACAGGCCAGGGCCTAAGAGTGGGGGGTTGGCAAAGGAGTGCCCTTCCCTCTCAGCGAGGCCCAGGTGCAGATGCATGGATGCATATACCTCAGGCACTGCCCCTGTCCCTAGAAGCCCCAAGGATTCTGCTTCCAGTTGGCTCACCTGTCGGCCCTGGCCCCCAAGGCTGGGGCTGGTGAGGGCATGTCGAGGGGAGACACCCCCAATGCCTGAGGGGCTCAGGAGGCCCATCCTGCCAGGTGGGAGGGCCCGGGGAGGCATTGGGAACTGCCGCTGGGTCCGCCGGGCCACCCCCATCCCCACAGAGCCAGCTATGGGGAGTGAGTTGGAGCCAAATGCCCAGCTGTGAGAGAGCAAAAGGCAGGACGTTAGCTTAGATGGATAAGAGCCACTTGTGCTCTTCTC